GGGGGGGCTGGAAAGGATGTGCGAGGCGACGATTAGGGGAGCGGGGTGCTGGGACTGGTCGGTGGATGTTTGAGGGCAAAAAATCGAGGAGCGGGACAAAGGCGCGGGAAGTGGGAGCATTTATGACGTCGTTGACGGTTTAGAAAAACTATCGCCAAATTCACGGGACCTATCAGGTGGTTTTTTTTTGACTAAAAAATTGTGATTGGAGGAGCCGCATAAAAACCTTTCGTCTCTTCGTTTGTTCCTTACTTCGTTCCTCAAGGCACAAGCCCGCCAAGCAACCGGCTTTTACAGTGGCGTACCTCATGAAATGTCGCTCAGCGCAACCGACTTCGACGTGTGCCTCTCTCCCTTGATGAATGCCTGCTAATGGAGGGACGCGAGAAGCTCCTAGATTGGGCGAAGAGGGAGGGCGCCTCACTGCATGGAGTTTACCCCACAGAAACCCCCTACCGAGGCGCGGGCATGGCCGCTGGTCGCCATCTCAAGGCATGTACGATACCTCCGAAAACGAAGCTCATTCGTCGAGGCGAGCGATCTAACCAGGTAGTCACAGGAAGGAGAGGACATCCTATATGTACCCACCGGGCTAGTCCGCAGTTTACACACTGTCCCTGAACATGTCTCTCGCAAGCTGCCATCTGACACGTCAATTCACGCCCTCCTGGCTGCGGACCTAACAGTCAATGGCATGACAGAGCTGGCGTTGTGGAGAGATTGTCTACCTACACTGGCCGACTTCAGCACTGGCATGCCATTCATGTGGCATAAAAAGCTCCAGGAGCTCCTCCCGAAGCCCGCCAGAGAGCTTTTAGAGAACCAGCTGGGCAACTTCCACCGAGACTGGGCTCGCGTCACGAAGGCTTTTCCGGATCTGCAGCAGGAAGACTACCTTCACAACTGGCTCGCTGTCAGCACGAGGAGCTTCTACTACTGGACGCCGCAGATGGAATTATACCCCCCGGCTGACAGGCTGGCCTTGGTCCCCATCGCGGATCTCTTCAACCACGCCGATACTGGATGTGGGGCCAGCTTCACACCAGACGGCTTTGTCGTTTCGACAGATCGCAAATACCATGTCGGCCAAGAAATTTACATTTCCTACGGCACACACACAAACGACCTTCTGTTGGCCGAGTATGGCTTTGTACCGATGGCGAACCGTTGGGACAAAACTTGCCTCGACGACGTGATCCTGCCAAGGTTGAGCCCGGATCAGAAGAAGCTACTCCGGGATAACAAACTCCTCGGTCCGTTTCTGTTGGATACCGCGACGCTTGGATGCAGGAAGACACAGGCCGCCATCCGGCTGTTGTGTCCCTGTAGTCGACCGCAATGGGAAGATTTTCTGGATGAAGAAGGCTGCGGAGAGCACTGTCGGGAGGCCATGAATGCGTTGCTGAGATCGTTACTTACCGAGTATATGGCCACAGCCAGGAAAACTGTGCGAGAGGTTGCGGAATTGGAGGTTGGGCAAAGCGCCCAACGCGAACTTCTTGGGCAGAGATGGAGGCAGATCGAGGTGACCGTTTCCCAAGCGATCAAACGTCTACAAGGCAGGGACCGATAGTTCTGACTCAACGCAAAGTCCTGCAAAGACGCACCGAACTCCAATCGCTTCCTCAAAGTGATGCGCTAGTAGTGCTGCCCAGAACTAGCTAATGTCCATCAGCTTCTGTCTATATTGCACCTCCTCCTACCACCGAACCTCTAGCCATCAGCCTGTCCGGTACCGCAAGGTCTAGCCGGTCCCAGCCTTCCCCGACTTCTGCTATCTTGTCGGCTTTTTTTTCCTGCCCCTTTTCCCCCTGGTGGTTCCGACCTGACGCCGAATCTGCAGATCTTCCTTCCGTGGTTGTTTCATGAAAAGACGCAACACGGAAGTGCTCCCGCCCAGCGTCGCCAGTTGCTGCCCACTGAGGCTTCTCTGGTCCTCCACCTCCTCCACTTCCTCCACCTCCTCCACTTCCTCCACCTCCTCCACTTCCTCCACCTCCTCTATCTCACTATCCTCCTCGCTCTGGTTCACCAGGCGGCGAAACTGGTTGGACAGCAGTTCAAATGGCAGAATACTGGCATTTGTATCGAATCCAGTGTATATGAATTCCCCGACACGCCACTGACATTCGTCGGAAGCAACTGCACCGCCCGCGAGGAGGAGCTTGACAGTGGCATGGTAGCCCATAAATGCAGCGATGTGGAGCGCCGTGAGGCCTCCAACAGCACGGGTGTTGCAGTCCACCCCTTTCGCCAAGAGATGACCTACGAGCTCCGAGGCGCCGGCAAAAGCTGCCATGTGGAGGGCCGTGGTTCCGTCTCGCGCTCTAAGCGTGGCGTCAGCTCCACGCTCTAGGAGTAACTCCGTCATGCGTCTATTCCTCGACTCAACCGCCCAGGTCAGCGCCGTCTTTCCCCAGCGGTCCGCCGCGTTGATTTCAGCACCTCGGTCTAGCACTAGCAGCGCTACCCTTGTGCTGGTTTTCGAGGCAGCCCAGTGCAGTATTCTTCGACCGTGATAGTCCGCCGCGTTGATGTTCGCCGCTTCGGAAGCGAGATACGCAGCGCTATCAGGCAGCCAGTGTTTTCCCGCGAGAAGTAGAGGCGTCCAGCGGTGGACCTTTGCATCGATGTCGGCGCCATTCTTGAGTAACAGCTTCACCAAGTCCAAGCCTCCCTCGCTGCAGGCCGCGTGGTGCAGCGCCGTCCACCCGCTGCGGTCGGGCTTGTTGACAGCCACGCCGTTTTGCAAAAGCAGCTGCATGATGTCCAGGTGGCACAAGCTTGCGGCCAGGGTCAGAGCAGTCGAGCCCCCGATGTCGTCCACGGCGTCGATATCCGCGCCGTTCTCCAGGAGCGCGAGCACCATTTCGGCGTTTCCGGCGTTAGCGGCGTACCGTAGACCGCTGACCACCACGCTTCCCGCCGACTTCTCCTGGGCCTTCTCGTCCCACATGGCCTGCAGCGCGCCGTCTTGTAGCAGCTCCGCCGTCTGCGCAACGATCTCGGGCCCATCCTTCTTCCTGGCCATCAACAGGTCCACCATCGTGTCGTGCTTTCGGAGGACCGCGGAGTGAAGTGGTGTCCACCCGTCCACGTCCCTGACGTCCACCCGGGCGCCGTTCGCCAGCAACAGCCGCACAATTCCCTCCAGCCCCTTCAGCGACGCGGAGTGCAGGGGAGTGAAGCTGTTCTCGTCCGCCACGTTTACGTCGGCTCCGGCCTCGATGAGCACCTTGGCAACCTCCTCCTGCCCTTCTTGCACTGCCCAATGGAGCGCCGTTCTGCCCCAGCAGTTCTTGGCGTTAACGCGAGCCCCCTTCTCCAAGAGCAGCCGTGTCATGGGTACGTCCGCAATGGCCCAGTGAAGAGGGGCATTTTGGTAAGCGTCTAGACCGTTGACGTCGGCGCCCTTCCCCAGAAAGACGCGCACCGCCTCTATGTGGCCCAACGGCACCGAGAATGTCATTGGGGTGCTCCCTTCGCCATCCCTGCAGTCGACCTCGGCTCTCTCGCTACTATCGTCATCCAGGAGCATCTTGATAATGCCAACACTTCTAGTCTCTGCGGCGAGGGTAAGGGCTCGGTTTCGATGCGCGCGCTCCGGGCCGGGGGTGTGGCTGAGAAGGACGCGGGTCAGCTCCACGTATCCGCCCATGGTAGCCCAATGGAGAGCCGTCCATCCAGAAAAATCCTCTCTGAGCGTGTCGGCTCCGCGCGCGACGAGCAGCTCGGCCACGGCCTGGTGGCCGTTCCGGCTCGCACAGGTGACAGGGGTCTTGCCACGGTTGTCTACAAGATTGATGCTGGCTGCGTAGTTTAGCAACAGCTGCGTGACGGCCACATGGCCGTTTTGAGCGGCGAGGTGCAGCGCCGTGGCTCCGTAGCTGTCTTGGTGATTTACGTCGACTTTCCCTTCCAGGATCGTGGCCGCGACTTGCTCTAAACCCCAGTATGAAGCGGCATGCAGAGCCGAGACTTGTCTAGGAAAGCGATCGTGCCACCCTTTTGTCCGATGGCGGGACATGTGCAGGACCTGAATGGAAGCGGACAGCTTCCCCTCGTGCCGAAGGAAACGTTGAAGGAGGTCCATGTCTTCAGGCTTGTCGGTCTGGCTGTGATGAAAATGGGACCCCCAGTAATGAGATGCGTAGTCAAAGAAGCGGTATTTTTGCAACCGCTCCTCTAGATCCTTCGCATCGCCGCATGGCCCGCTCTGGAACTCGTCAAAGTTCAAGTGGATAAGGCACATCCTGGCCATCTCCCTCTCCGGCCATGGCAAGAGCTTCCCGGGGCGTGATTTGAGATATTCATGCAGAGTGTGGTGGACCAACCCCACGATGCCTGTTTGCGTGTCTTCTCTGATGAGACCGGCGGAATCACTGAGAATAAACCGGAGATCAGGGATGGCCGTCTCGTCTAGTTCGGCATCGTCGATTTCAACCCCCATAGCGTGCAGTAGCTCTCCCGTGTTGAGTGGTCTCTTGGCACAGAAGAGGTAGCAAAGTGCCGTCTTCACCGCCTGTTTCCTGGGTTCGGGCTGATCCGCAATTCTCGCCATGGCCACGTCGTAAAAGGCGAATAGATTTGCGGGTGCCTTGTCGAGAGACCTGCGAACGTTTCGGACGTTCAACTGATCGCAGAGCAGGCGCATATAAAGATGGGCAAGCAAGAACCTGGAGTCGAGGTTAGACAAGGCAGGCCAGCCAAACTCCAGCAAAACTTGGAGGGGTTTTGCTCGGAGTATGTACATGAAAGAATGCAACCTCTCCTGCTGGGGCAAACTTACATGCCGTCGGCCATCACTTGCAAGCGCCTGATAATATCCTCTCTGAGACTCGGATCCATGGACGTGAAGCGCTGCATTCGTTTGTTCGTGTCAATTTCCGATTCCAAATAAGCCCGAATATCGGATTCATGGGCTGTGATGTCGATGCGGCACAAACTCGAGAATGTTTCCTGTAGGTCCAAGACAGGCCGGGAAGTGATGAGCAAGCGAATATCCCGCTCCAGTGTCCTTGTGCAGCGAAGAAGGTTGGCTTGGTCCTTCTCGGTACATTCGTCCTGTCGTCGGCGGTAGGTCAGTAGGCGAAGCCCTGGAAGCAAATGCAAGGCAACCTACCAGCGCGTCTAGCAGGACGTAAGTTCTACCAAAGAGCTGAGCCAAAAGCCGAATAACACCGATTCGCTCTTCCACAGTTGGACGAATGATTCCACCAGCGTATCTGTCGTGGAACGCCCGAACTTCTGAGGGCACACGGGCGCATTGCTCGACCAGCTGTCGAATTATGCTAGACAAAATACCCGCTTCGGATCGGCTGATGGGATCGCTGTGCTCGCAGTACACAAACGCCATCGCGACATTCGATCTGTCCATTCTCGTGCCGATGTAATCGACGACCGCTGAGCTGTTTGCCAATTATGTAAGTATCGAGGGTAGAGCAACCTTGGGAGAAAAAAAACAAGGCACTCACACCATGACAGTCTTTCCGGCACCAGCTGGATTGGGCTTGTCAGCCAAATGTGCCCAGAGCATGTGAGCCGACTGAGAAGAGGCCTACCATCCCCAGGACACCAGAGGGTCGAGTTCTGATCGCCATGGAGCCATTTCTGGAAGAGCTCAGAACCTATGAGCCACTGAACAGTGCCCGAGTGGTACTTGTCAAAGACGGCGTGCTGCTTGTTCCGGTAGTTTAGGGGTGACAGCCATGTCAGAATCTCTTCCCGTTCCCGGGAGCTTTCTTGCGATATTTGGTGAGCTCTATCGTCTACAGCGCCGTGTTAGCGATCCGGGACGGTGATTGTACGGGTGCTCTTTCCGTACCTTTCCTGTCATTGCGCGCTTGTTCCATCCCATCTAGAACGGACCGAAGATTACCGCCCATCTTCTCCGCGGCCACGCGGCTGCTTGTTGCATTGTCGCTTATTCCTGTCAGAATATTTGTGACGCCCGTATTCACTGCCTCGATGTTAAGTTTCAGTTCAGCCACCCCTGTCCGGCCCTCAGTTTGCGCAGACTGGACGTTTGACTTGACTTCTGTGACGCTGACAAATATGGCGTTTCGGACAACACCTTCCTCCTGCTCTACCAGTTTGTGAAAGCGATCGAGTGCCGTTTGAAGGCAATCATCCTCGCCAGAGACGAGACTTCGAAGTGTTTTGACTATTAAACTTTCTGTTGGTAAGTGGCTCTGACAAAGAGGACTTGAGAGGCAGACTTGGATTTACCAAATCGGTTTGCCCGGATGTACTTTGTAAAGATGCCCAGCACGACCAAGACAGATGCCAGGATCTCCGTAACAATGGCAACTAACTCAGGGAATGGCGGCACTTTGCCTTCCAAGACTTTGAGGCGGACGAGATAGGACTGCAAGTCCTCAAAGAGGCCAGCAACTTTATCGTAGTCGGAAGAAACGGTGTTCGCGGTCTGTCAGGTGTCAGCAGCTATGGCATGACGCATGTGACATAATATCTTGCACATACGGCGATGAGGTGTTTGATAGCAGCAAATATGGCTTCGCTCGGGGGGAAGGCCTTTTCTTACGTTAGCTTCAATGCAGTGGGTGGTTCCGGCCAAGTGGTCTCGGGTGATTGTACAAACTTGCCCCTTTCGATGCGTGAGCGGCGACCTCGAGCAGCCGCTGGAAAGAACCAATACTCTGCGAGAGGAGGGTCCTGAACCTGTCCGACCTGGATCCATTGTGCCGGCGTCTTAGAAACGTCTTCTCGCTCGTTCTGACTTCTTTGAGGATGTCTTCGATGGTGTTTACGCCGTTCAACGTCGCGATCCGGACGCCCGCGCTCTTTTCGTATTGATCGATAGCGGCTTTCCAGATTTTCGACGTGTCAATTGCTTCGTCCGCTGGAACAGGCCCAGTCGGCGCCTGGGTGCCCCCCATCTTTGCGGACCGAAAGCGGACCGTCCCGTGTGATATGGTCGGTTTCCATGGTGTCCAGTGTCAATTTTCCATGCTGTGCGGCATCGATTCTGTCCAGCGGGGAATCCGCCCTCGATTGCACGCGTACGCCTACAGTCGAGATGCGCCTCGCATACCCCTCCTCTCGAATGGAGGCGTACGCCCCTGGTGATATGTCTGGGGCACCTGCCCAGCTAAGGTAGTCAGCCAGCAGCGATTGCAAGTATGGCCGAGTCGGTTGCGGGTAAACCCTTTACGTCTTCACCAGCTATCAAGGCCGCGTTTTTGAACTACCTCGAGACTCACCCAAATAAGCGCCGAGTGACCCCAGTCGAACGAGAGGAGCTGATCGGATGGCTCACCAACCTCCACGCCCCGCCTTCGTCGCAGAAGGAGTTCAGCCGTCGAAACTATGTGCGGAAGACTTTCGCGTGGGATGAAGATGGCCAGATGCTCGTGGCGGTTTCGAGGAACGGTCAAGAGAACCGAGCAGTCATCACCGAGGATAACATCATCGAGGTGGTAGAACTCGTGCATACCTCCAATGGCCACGCAGGGTGGGACGCGACATGGAGGGATGTTAGTCGCTCCTACTACGGCATCATGCGAGCCGATGTGATCTTCCTGCTTAAACGGTGCGACATTTGCGTATCGAACCCTCGCAAGCGCCCCAAGGGCTCCATCTGGACGAGCGCTGGCCCAGAGCGCGCTGGCCCAGAGGCCTGTGAGCGCCAGAATGGCAACGAGCTACCGAGTCTGGTACATCACGAAGACAGCAGTTTGGTTCAGTTCTTTGATATGGCTATGCCGCACGGGCGAATAAGTGGCGAAGAGGGCAGCTGAGAGCCTTGATGGGGGTTGCGCTGCAAGGAGCGGATCTGATGTCCGCAGGGGCCTTTTGGGATTCTGCGTTTTCTGAGATATCAAATCGAAATATTGGGCCCGTATGTGTCTTCGTCGCGCCGCTCGTCTTCTCGTCGCGCGCCCTCCATCTGCTCTTTGAGCCACTTGGCAAGATCGGACTCCAAGGGGATCATTCCCCAGTCCTGGATTTCCACCCTCTTCAACCCCTGCAACGTGCAAAGGTCCTGTATGCCTGCATCAGCTCTGAAGGCATGATGTCCTATCTCCTGGATCAGGTCGCTGTCAAACTGAAGAGACAAGTGCCGCAGCCGTTTGCACTGTTTCAACAACTGGATACAAGTCGACGTGCTGCCGGAGGGCAGCCTTCCTGGAAGGCCTCCGGGCCCTTGGTCTGAAGATACATCCCAACTGTTGGTTGACTCCGAAGTGCTTTCCCAAGCCAAGCGCAGCGTTTCGATGTTCTCGCGTCCGACTTGACCAACTGCAATGAGAAACTTGATTGCGCTTTCGAGGTTGTCTAAGCAAAATATGGTGCGGCGATAGGCGAAGGGCAGCGCTTCTCGTCGTATCTGTTTGTTGACCCTGAGAACCGATAAAGCTTTGCTTAGCGGGTAGTAGAAGCCACTGGGATCCCCTATGCCCCGAGGGAAGTTATCGCGTTCGAAATCCTCGTCGTCTATCATCCTCCATTCCCCTTGAGGCAGCGCGAGGTTGTAGATAGCTTGGCGAACCTCCAAGGGAAGAAGGCCGAGAAAGGCTGGGACAGGGGTAGGGGTAGGGCTTCGAGTTGCTGCCATCAGCTTGTGGAGCTAGGAAGAATATCATCGTCAGCCCCGGGTCAAATTGCAGCGGTACTGTACAATTGCAAAAGCAGACGTGATACTGGCCTTGGCCGTAGACAGCACATGAGACGCCTCAAACTCGGAGAAGAGGAAGGTAAGGTTCAATCCGAATCCGTAGTGGATATCCAGAGGAAAACTGTAGAAACCAGGGCCGTGATCATGGCTAAGTATGACAGAATTGTCGTGATATACCACGGTCTGGAGTACATGTTGTTAGACCTCCCCCCATGTCAACAGATATGTAGTTGGGAGGCCTACCTCGCTCTGCCCTTGCTTCAGGGCAATGGAACCGCTTTCCTTGACGCACTTCCTCCTGACAAACTCTTCATGCTCTTTCTCGGTTCGCTCGCCGAGGTCGCTGGAAACGGGGCGCAAGCTGGAGAAGAGGCGCCCGGTAGGCGTTTCAGTCAGGTGCCTCAGCTGGAACCCCATCTCTTCCTCCAACTCCGCCACAGTCCGGGTGGGTTTACGCTTTGCCATGATTGTGCCAGTATGGAAAAGGACTCGAACAAACGAGCAAAACCAAGCCAAAACAAAACATGCAAAAAAGGTTGTGGTGGTAGTAGCAAGCGTTCAGCGAGTGAAACCAGCAAAGTCCTGTCGTGTTTTCCAGCCCCGCCACCTGAGGCACTGCACGTGAGCGGGCCGTCGCAATCTCTCTCCCTGGTTGGCGGCCCGGATCTGCGGAATAGGAAGACCTTTCCCCGGACCTACTGTTAAGGAACCCCGGCCATTTTGGTGTCGGTGCCACCAAAAATGAGCCGGCTGCACAACAGGGTCTAGCAGGCCATTTGGTTCTATGTGACCCGCGTTCTCCAACTCCTTTTGACAACGACGCCGGCAACGCAACTGGGCCAAAAAAGCAGAGAACGGCTGGCAGCGGCACGGTATGGGTGGTGCCTATTACCAGTCGAGGGGAAGGCCTGCACCCTGTCGCCTATGGCGCGCTTCGCGCGTTACCAGACCGCTTTTCAGCTTCCCTCCCCTCTGCTTTTGCCTCGCGGATGGTCGACACGCAACGAAACAATGCCGAACGCATAAGAAGACTGCTGGTCGGCAAGCAGTTAGAATACATTGGACGAATAGCCGGCCCGGCCGCCGTGGCCTGAACGGTACGCCTAACATTACGTTGCAGCCTGTCGTTCGATACGCGACATTCCAGGAGCACACTGGGTTGTAATTAGGCGAACTTTTCTTTTTTTCCGCCGGGCCCAGGGGACCATTGCGGCCCCTCCAACTGGCCTTCACTTTACCCCAGCACCTTGCCGGCCGACTGCGTCTCTCTACCACCCGCGGCGCTTATCGCGCCGCCCGCTGCGCTTACAGCGCCCTGGTAATCTCTCGCCCTTTCGCCGATTGCCCGCTCACCAACAAGGAGCGCCGGAATGCGGCCCGAACTCCGTGTGCCTTGGGCTTGCCCCATGGTTTGATTTGTTAGCCGCCTCGATGGCAACATGTAGCCTAGTGTCAAGCTTAGGTAGCCCTGGCACGTCGTATGCCCCTAGCGAGGCAGGGAAAGGGAGATCCCGACTTGCCGACGCTAAATATACTCCTCCTCCCACCCGATCAATGAAAGGGAATCTAGGGCGGTCATGGAAGGCATCAAGCCACGGAAAAGCAGTCCTTATATTGATGATGTATCATTTAGGAATCTGTGAGCCTTAAAAGGCAGAAAAAATCACTCGAAGTACTGGTGAACCGGTGCGTGGATCTCATGATGGTTACCTGACCACGTTACAATCTTTGGGCTTTAGCGCATAAGATTGGACTGGGAGAAGCTTCCTTCCATGTAGGCTGACAAACCCCCTCTGTGTCTCGGTTCGAATTATGCGCCAACCTGCCTCCTTGAACAGACTTAAAAAGCTCGAGTCCACCCTCGTAACACACCCGTCGACTTCATCCAGGGCATCAATGCCACTCGTGCTCAAATTCTCCTTGACGACCATAACTCCGCCGTCAGGGTTCAGCGCTGCCCTGCACCGCTTCATGAAAGCCACAAGCTGCTCGTCGGTCAGGTAGCCCACACACCACTGTACCCAGATCAAGTCGTACAACGTCCCCTCGATGGGGGACCAGCCTTCCAGGCCGACGTTGAAGACGTTCCGCACTCCTATCACCTCTTGCAGAGGGGCGACAAACTTGGTAACAGGCTCTATGGCATCGACCGCATCTGCCACTTCGACAAGCAGACCTTGCGTGATTCTTCCAATACTGTCTCGCATGTTCAGCATCAGCAACCATGACAGTTTTTCCCCGTCTGTCGGCTGCTAGATCACTTACCCCGCCCCGCCCTCCAGCGCGTTGGCAACCCTGCGTCGACCATTCTGCTTTCCAATCCCCAGTTTCGCGAGAAAACTGCGAGAACCTTGGAGGTCCACTTTGGAGACGTACGAAAATCCGTTTGTAGAAGGAACGCCGCCAAGCATGCCGTCAATGTCGGCATTAACGCCCTCCCAATATTCTTTTGCCGAGCTGGCCATAATTGCTGGGATGTGGGGTGGGAAAGGTTGTGTATCGAGTTGCCTGGGTTTTTAGGTCTACGCGGAAAATTCGCTTTGCCTGTAGCGGTGGGCGGGGTAGGGGAGGAAATCACGTGTAGCGCTGAGGCTTAGGCCAGAAGAAGGGGTCTTGTTGAGCCACAGCAGGCTGGTGCCAGAATGTGGCTCAAATCACATCGTATTCCATGGTCCAAGTGTTGACGTTGCGGCTACGCCGTGCCAGGGCAGCAGAAGTGGCGTCAAGCGGAGGACTTGAAAGGTAACGGCCATGGTTTGGGTGGGGGCGGAGGTGAAGCCGGGAGCTTTTGAGCATACGTTTATTTCCATCATCCCGGTTCGGTACCTTACTTGACAGCGATGCCTCCCCATCAGCCGGAAGCTGAATCCTTTGCTTCGGCACTTGATTCTCCCCCAACCCTGCGTAACCGCCCTGTCAAAAACCAAGTAGCCCCACATCGTCGAGGGCAAGTCGCCCAAAAACCATCATCTCTTCAACAGCGGCACCGCCGTTCTCCCCCTCCAAGCCGCAGTATGACGCCCTGATCCACACCCTGAATACCCACCCGGGCGTCCCCAACATGGTGCTCTCCGACTAGAATCTCCTCAAAATCGTAAACAGGAATAGGTGGAAGCCACTGCCCTACGTCCTACAACGCGCTCTGGCTCATGCGCGGCTGCCACCGAGCGCTCTGGAGGGATGGCGAGGTCAAGATTCTGCACTACATCCTGTTGGATAAGCCTTGGAAGTCGAGACAGTTTGACGAGGAAGCTGCGGTGCTGTCGCTGCATGGTATTTGGTGGCGCGTCTGGGATGAGGTGGAAAGGGAGTGGACTACTGCGAGCGAGTAGGCGCGCAGAAGGGAGCTGTTCGAGTCTGTCGTCAGGCCTATCGTTGCGCAGGATTGATGGATGGAACTGGAGGTACTCAAAACCCGACGAGGTGTTATTGATGACGATAACGGTGTCCTCGCGCGTGAAGGGAGAGTCCATGGGCAATCACTCGGGGTAAGCGGCGAACAGTTGCTCTTTAAAGGCCCCGAGGAACCCGATGTTTGCCCGGAAGACCCCGGACAAAACTAGTTAGAAAGGACAGCCAGTACCGAAAACTGGACGGAAACACATTCTAGAATCAGACTGGAAAAATGGGACTTACGTGGCTCTTCGAGCACATTTTCTCCCCTCAAGCAGATACGGTTTCCTGCACGCAAGTTTGACGGATAATGGATGGGTATTTTAAGACTATGGCTGCTGATGACACAATCTCCCTCCCAGCCTTGTCTGATAGTTTTCCGGGCTTTTATCCCAGATGTGATGATGCGCCCAAAGTGGCCATTCAATGATGTTGTTGGGCGGAAGGAAGGAAGCGTTGTGGAATGAAGGAAAACGACAAGGACGAGCAAAAAAGAAGAAAATTATTAGACTGGGGATGTTCGTTGGTCTTCGTGCAGCAGAGAGCCCCGTCTGCTAAGACTGCCCAAGGTATCGCCTATCTTGTTGCTGAACCGGCGTGCTATACCCCTCAGCGATGGCAAGCTCCGAGCGCTGCTTGTCGTGCCCATTGTATCGGTCCTATTGCCCCTGTCCCTTACTGCTGTGGGCATGCCCGCCGTCTCGTGGTTGGGGTCTAGGTGGCAGCGCCGGCCCTCAGTCTCGTCCTCCCGCGGGGGCAGCTTATTGAGCGTCTTCTTTTCCAGAGTTGAGAGCCGCTCAACGTCTTCCCTGGATAGTGGTTGGCTGGTCTGGACGAACCAGGCATCGTCGACGGTCTAGAAAATGTTTTCTTCTCGTCAGCGGCGAAAATATGTCAAAAGGACAGCAGCAAAAAGATATAGGGATTAGACAGAAGAAGAGGAAATTCTGTATACATACATGTATAATATAGTTGCCCTGTCCAGGCCTCATGCTCAGCTTGCTCTCCAGGTTGTACTTGCTGTTCTTGTACTTTGGGAACTGGATCTCGGACCAGCCCTTTTTTAGTTGTCGGTTCGCATGCGGCATGAAGTCGTTGACCATGGGGTCTGTCGCAAATTGGTGGTTGTCTGTCGCGAACACACGGGAAAAGAATCTCTGGAGAAGAGAACAGTGTTCATGCCAGTCCTCTGATATTGGTCGGGCATCGGGGCATCGGCTCTGGGTTGTGGGGCGACAATGTGGCCAAGGAAATTTGGCGATAAAAGGGAATCGACTGGTTTCTATCGAACCACGGAGGTCTGCAAAGAGTGGATAGCAAAAGATTTTAAATACAGGGCGATCACCCCGGCCCTGCCTGCATATGTAGTCTCAAATCTACCCGCGGGCGGGACTCGTCGGGTCGTCGAAAAGGCGGCAGCCTGTGTGGTTTTGCGGGGCCAGGCGCAGGAGCGGCGTGATCTTTACTCGTTGTGTTTTACAGGCTGGAATGTGGCAGGAGCTGAACGGATGTGGTCTGCCTCGGGGCTTATGTTCTTGTGGATAAAGGTCTCGTGGCGCCCCCTCAAATATAACCGGTGGCTTGCAGGATTGGTGATTATGGCGGCTTGAACAACCAACGAGAGCCGCACACCACACATCCTATTGGCAGAATGCTCGGCGGGCATTTCTGCGCACTCCGTAGCTGAGGGGCGAGCTACCCTTGTCAGTACACCGGCCTGGCCCGACCGATGAGACGATTGTTAGCTTGCCGCTAGGGCGCTGAGTACGGGGAGGTGCACATCTCTTCGAACCTAAAAAGGAAAAGATCGCCTCGACAAGTAACTGCCGTTTTTCTCCCTCCTACCATGTCACGCGTGTCTCGACCGGATGACTAGGAGGTTTGGCGCAGCGCCGCCACCTTGGAGAAAAATACGCCTATGTACATGCGAGTGGCATCCAATTGGGCGAAAAAGTTCTCCAGTGTAGGTGGGCTGTGCGAGGTCTGCACGCGTCCTCAATGGATGGCCAGCCCTTCCTGAAACTCCGCCACGCATTGTTATGACCAGCATTGTCATTAGGACAATCCCTCCCTTCAACATGACCGGCTGTTGAAAGGGATGTGGGAGTCCTCTAGCTCTACGATACGACATCTCCCACAGCTGGCTGGCTGGCCTGAGAACATCGTGGCTTCTGCGATGTTTGATCTCCCCGAATAGACCAGGCACTCCCATTCCCTTGCGGTCCATGGGGCCTCGGACTACGCAAAAGCCTCATTTTCCGCCCCTTGTGTGCAACACAAGAATTATTACAACTCTGGGCGATCACAGCCCCGAAGAGGAAAGGAGAACGTCATGCAGCGACCGACATAAAGCCCCCAGCCAGGCTTCTTGGTCAGATCCAATGGTAGACGCCACCGAGGGAATATTACTGCAATTCCCAGCCCAGCCTGCCCTCGACGGAACAAAACTCGGCTATATAACTGGGAGGTGGCGCAAAGGCCGCATATGATGACCCCACCACACTCAGCGTCACCGACATTGATAAAAGAGGAAGAGCACTTCCATGCGGCTGAGTTGCCCGAATTGCAGGCGCCCCTCATCCTCGAGGTCGGGAAAAGGACGCCGCCATCGGCGCCTCCGTATTTCCTCGGACCATGGCAACAGACGTGTGATGGGTTCGATGGCGGCAGCAGCTGACAATCGAGGTCAGGCTGTGGCGCTCTCGATTGACACAAGAGGGAGGGGGCGAACGGAAAAGAATGCAATCTTATGGTCTTCTTATATCCTATCAATGGGATGCTCGCAGCCGCAAATGGGTAGGTAGGCGAGGGTCTTGTCAAAGAAAAGAAGATAAAGTTGTAGATGCACGTCGATCCATACATTATCCAGACACCTGGCTCTGACTCCCTCGACGGCCGTCCACTCTTGCATTTTGCTCTGTCTCACAATAATCGCGGTCCTCATACGCTTGGCTCCTCTCGGATACTCATACTTCGCTGTTTGAAGGAACAGTAAAAAAAAGGCAAAGACCAACAAAGCTAGAAGGGGTCACGCTCCCGCGCGCAACACTAGGATGGACTGGCCAGCCGACCACAGCCCTTTCCTCACTCCGGAGGACATCGCCGAGTTTGACTGCAGCCGCACGGGCAGGCCTATGGCGCATTGCCGTGTTTTTTACATGTACAACTCTGTAAGCTGAGAAAGACAGTCATAGTCGGCCCAATACTCTTCTTTTATGCAGCGCTGACATAGTGACCGGAATCCTCGGTGCGACGCTCGAAGGATACGAGCATACGAGAGATGGTGCTCAAGCAGCCGAGTGACTGGGACACATTTATGGTCTGTTATCCCAGACCATCTGGGTCATCCACCCGGGCGAGCGTGAATGACTAATAACCGCTTGCCAGAGCAGGATTCGGCAATATTTTCTGGCGGCCAACCTGACCAGACCCCAGAAACACAACGGCCCCCTCCCCGGGATCTGTCTGGAATTTGTCTATTGTACGTACCATCTCTTGTCTGTCGCACAGAAAAGAAGCATGGCTATATACACTCAGCTAGAGCATCCCTGTCTTGTGATTCGTTTTTGCAGATGTTTTGACAAGCGGTAACCAACCATTTACAAACAATACAAAACAGTATGGCACCGAGGACTAAACGGGATGATGAAGGGGAAATCAACGCCCTCTGGGAGCTCCCTGTCGTCGGTGAAGAGAGTTGGGCTCGGATCGCGCGTGCCTTTCGTGTGTCTGGGATGTTCAACCGGAATACAATGTGCAAACGGGACGCCAACGTATCTTCTGTCGTCTGCCGTGACCCGGGCGAGCAGCACCAACCACGGCAGCAGCCCCTACAGCACCAGCAGCCAGGGACAACGGCAGCTCAGGGGCAGGGGCAGGGGCAGGGGCAGGGGCAGGGGCAGCAGGGGGAGAGCCTGTGGATGCACATGGCCGTGACATCGGCGCAGTGGGCCAACTGGGACAACATGGCGCTCGCGTCGACGCACCTGGAGCAGCAGCGGCTTACGACGGCCGTGCTACTAGGGACGACGAAGCGGCAGATCGACAACGTGCGCAGGCTGCTGGGTAACGCGCTCGCCGCCGAGTCCGGGCAGGCGGCGTTGCGGCACCCGCTCCTCATGCTCGGCATGGCGGCCGAGCTCATGCTGGAGCGGCTGCGCAGCATCGTCGAGAGCAACCGGAAGAGCTGTCGGTGGACCAAAAATAAGCTAGAGACCGAGGCTGACAGGATCGCCAATGGGCCCAGCCACATGGCCATCAGCAAGAAGGGAATGGAGCAGATCAAGGATCGCCAGGTGTGGAGCAAGCGCATCGAGGACGAGATACTGACCACCAAGCGGCACCTGGAGAGGACCATCAAGCGCTGTGGGATCGACGTGAACGGCGGTGATGCCGACGATCTTAGCATCGGTGGTAATGGTTGCAGCGGCAATGGCAATGGCGGTGGTGGCAGCGGTGGGGCTCCCGCTACTGAAGCGGGTGACGGTGATGCCGCCTGCCGTCGTCGGTTGGATAAAAGATTCAAGCAGCGGTTCGAAGACGTTCTCGTTGAGCTAGAAGATCTGCTGGCGAGGAACAAACTATCCGTGGAGGACATGTCGCACGAAGCCGAACTGGTAAGCACCCTTCCCTATGCCATTTATTTTACTCTCCTACCTCCTTTTCCCCTTTCCTTCTACTGTATCCATTTCCTGCATTTATTTCGTATTCCCCTTTCCTATTCCCCTTTTTCTACTTCGTATATCCTTGCCTATTTCGTTTCTTCGTGGTATTTTGCCCATATATTGGCTCTGAGTCGCGGATGGCGGCCTCATAAGGCCCAGCATGTATGTGGAAAGGCGATCCGGAGCCCTTGGTCGCGAGCTTGCTGCAAAATTCTAGCACTAGTCTGCAGCTCTCGGCCACCACACTCGTGGCGTTTTTGTTCTTGGCCTCCTTTTCCCTATCTTTCTCTTCCTTGGCTATATCCTCCGCGACTTTGAAGATAAGGTATAGTTTCTAACAGGAAACGAAACTGGCAGCTGCGAGACGCTGTAGCTCAGGACGAGGCGAGCACGAGCGGCAGGGTGGCCGAAGCGAGCAAGACGCTCGCGTATGTGGCCATGTTCTACCTACCGGTATCCACGCTTGCAGTAAGACGGCAGTCCTCCTTTCTCTCAACCCGAAACCGCGAGGCGATTTCCTGACTTCGTGGGCGTTGTTGATGGGTGGTGACAGACCATATTTGCCATGCCCGTGTTCAAATTTGAGTATGAGTGGCGCGATATACACTGGCACCTGACGAGCAGCAGCAAGGATGAGCCACCGCCGACGAATGGGACAACAGACGTCGCTACGCCAGGAGGAGCAGCCGACGGCCCGGGAACGCCGCCACCACCCGTCGTCTCGCAGTACTTTTGGTACTACTTGATCTTGACGACCCTATGTACCATACTCACCATGTGTATTTGCCAGTACCTTGTATCCCATCCTTTCCGGTGGAGCAATGTCTTCGGAAAGCTTGGGTAAGTTGAGTGCTAATTTTTCTCCTTTCTCCTTGTCCTGCCTCCTTTTCCTGTCTTCTTTTCTTTTCTTTTATTCGGCACATCGAGATCCGGCGGCCTTGATAACTCACAGATTTCACAAACCTGCAGCATCAAAGCCGGGGCGGATAAGAGTCATCGGGACAGCCTCTACCCCGACGGTGAGGATCCGAACAACGGATCGCCGCCCGAGGAGCCAGAGTCAGATACAGAGACGACGGCGGCTACGATGACACCCGCAGCAACAACACCGACAACGGTAACGACAACAACAACAACAACCGGAACTGCAGCAACAAGCCCGGCGACCGGAAATCCCTTGCGGCATCAAGGACAAGTCCAGCAGCAGCAGCAACCACAGCCGCCGCAACGGAGCACCTCACCCGGGGGGTCCCCGCTGCTGCAGCAAGCCCCAGCGCACACAGTCGGCAGCACCGGCAGCACCGGCAGCAGAAGAAGCGTCCGACAGCACCCCATCGCCCCCGTCTTCGCCGCCACCGCCGCCGCCGCCGCAGCCACTCCAGCTATGCGCGCGACACCGCCATCTCCATCGCCGCCGCCGCGGAACGTGTCGACAACGCAGGCTTTCGCGGAGCAGCAGCAGCAGCAGCAGCAACAGCCCCTGGCCGGCGGAGGAGGTCGCACACGGCGAGGGTCATCGGCAAGGTCATCGCCGAACCTGGCGCCGCAGCTCCTGAAGCACGTATCTGAAGAGGAGGAGCCGCCTAACAGCCCTGCTCCTCCTCCCGCGGGGCAGCAGCCGTCATCTTCCTCAGCATCATCGCAACCGCCGCAGCAACCCTCGTCGTCTTCTGCCGCAGGTGCGGCGGTGAGTGAGCAACAGCAGCAGCCCTAGCAGGGGGCTAACCAGCGCTGCCGCTCCCCGAGTCCTAACTTGCAAATGGCAACACCGGGATCGGGCTCACCGATAGCTCTCAAAACCATGCCATCAAATACACATAGGTAAAGGTGTGGTGCGGACGGTTGGGAACGACGGGGCATCCATACTTTGCGTAGGGGACGATTCCTCTCGGTACCTACTGAGCATTATTTTCAACATCGCCGCTACGGCTCGGGCTCGTCTCACCCCGCTCAGCGATGCTCAGGAATTTGATTACCTCCATCACCATTTTGGGGGAAATGCACGGCAACGTCCCCTTCGCAACCAACGCCGCCCCGCCCTCCCACGACTTTGGTCAATTTTATGCGATGTATGCCACGGACAAGGAGTCGGCCGCCGGCGTCAGGATGGGGGACGAGTGCAACTTGGCCGGAGGCCCTGCTTCTAGCACCCCCCATTCCGGCCATGTTCAGGCGCCCGGCTTCTGGCATCCCCTCCTTTCCCCCGACGTCCAGGCAACCGCTTCCCGGCTTCCGCACTACGGGTGTCGTACAGGTGTCGTTAATTATAAAGAGCATTCCGGCGCCTTTTTTGCCCTGTTTTCCTTAAAGTTTTGGGACCGCCTTGTGGTAATAATAATGGGAGAACCTGGCGCCGACGTGGAAGATGAGTAAATTACCTACCATTGGCGTTTCTCTGCATCTGCAGTGTAACGTCCCAGGGAGGTTGGTGCCATGCAAGACGCAAGGCGTTTTTTTTTCAGTTGGGCTTCCGTGTTCGGCGTCCCCGTAACAGCCAAGTGTCTGCGCACACTTTATATAAATAGCAGCGCCTGACTTAACTGCTTTGAAACACAGCCGCTTGCCCTCCAATCCCTTATTTCTTTTTTTTCTCCCGCAAACCACTTCCCCATTCAAAAAGCGCCCTTCCATAACTGAACCCTCCGGGCCTCGAAGACATAATGTCAATGGAGCTAATGGAAAGAGGTTCGGGACAAAGCCCACGGCATCTGTCAGCGCCCGAAACTTCGGCTAGCAAGCAATTCTACTCCAACTACCCTCTGCGCCGGGAGGATGAGGAGATACGTGTTCTGCACTTGGACCCTCCAAGCGATGGAAAGCTCGTCGGCCACCTGGGGGTCATCAGCTTGAGAGCGAATAGCAACGACCGGCTCAAGTTCGCTGCAGTGTCTTACGTTTGGGAGTGGCCCATGGACGGCGAAATGGATCAACCCCGAGCGATACGCCTATCTGACGCCTTTGAGCTGGGAATCACCGCAAACTGCTACGCCGTCCTCCAACAAATCCAAAACAACCAGCATAAGCTCGGTGTCAATCCCATTTGGATAGATTCTATCTGCATCGATCAGATGGATAAGTCGGAACGAGAGTGGCAGGTGAACGATCTTATGGGGCGGGTTTATGCGCTCGCGAACAGTGTTTATATATGGCTGGGCCAGGGCACCCAAGGAACCGACCGCGCCATGGACTACCTACGGCATTACGCCGCCGTCATGCGGCCCCTTCCGATAGCAGAATATGCTACGGCCGCCGGCATTACGGGGTTGGACCGGGAGATTGACGACTGCCAATCCGAAGCCGGGGGTGATTACCTTCGGCGGCTCAGTTTGCTGGCCATGTCCTGGCGATGGGGGCGGAATCGGCAGCTCCGCGATGACATAAACGAGCTCCTCTCCAGGCCATGGATCTCGCGCGTGTGGACGTTCCAGGAAGTCATCTTGGCCTATCACCCTGTCGTCCTCTGCGGTAACCGCGTGCTCACCTGGGGCACCATGGTAAATGCGCTCCGCTATCCCACCCATGACTCACTCGAGGTTCCTTTCACTTCGGCGCTTGGACCTTTCTACCATCCCCAGCAGGGACTCGTCAGCTGGCGCGCGATTATACGCTTTTGGGCTGTTTTCCCTCGGCCCTTTTCCCGCGCCAGTTCACTCATCGTCGGCCACGAGGCCGGCGGTGGTGACACCCCCGAAGCCGGTCGGTTAAACCCGCAGTCCTTCCTCGAAATTCACAATCTCATGTCAACAGCTGCCAGCACCACAGCACAACCATATTGGTGGCTGGGGGTGCAGGTTGCAGTTTACTGCGGGATTTCGATGTATGGAGCTTTCATGGTATGGAGCGCCATCAAAATTATGAAAGAAGTTCAAAAGTTCGGCGAAGCACCATCACTTTTCTCGGTGCTGGCACTGGCAGTTATATTTAGTGCTGGCTTGTGGGCGTTTGACATAGTCCCAAAATTCGTCCTATCCGGGGGCTCGGAAAGCGCTCGGGAACTCCTTCTGCACGAAGAAGGCGCTGAGCTCGGGCATTTGGCACTACTCGACGCGATGCAAAGTGCTTTACGTCATCGCGCTTGCGCCGTGGAGCACGACAGAGCCTATGGCCTGTGGGGTATCCTAAAAGCCCTCAAGGTCAAGCTGCCCAACGTTGACTACAACCAAGAGCTCGGTGGTTTGCATAGCGACCTGCTGGCTACAATGGTCAAATGGCAGCCCGCGGCCGTCGGCCTAATCCTGGATGCTGGCACGACACACCCAGGGCGTGACCCTCTGGGTGGCGCTCCCTCCTGGGTTCCTCTCTGGACTGGCGGCTCCGGACATATGCCTAGCCCATGGATGTCCCTGAGACACAACATCAGGCTCCACAATATGGCCCTGCTCCCGATCTTACAGCTAGCATACCCCGTTATAGAGGGCAGATCTTTGCGCCTCCTCGGTCGGCCACACGGTGTTGTGGAGTTCATCACTGCGTTCGATGATTGCGTGAGCCTTCCGCCACAAATTATTCCCATCACAAGCCACAAGAGGAGGTTCCTCCATTGGGTGCAACGCGCAGAAGATTATATCCGCCGCGGTTACGAAGTGACACCACCCACCCCTAGCGTTAAAGCCTTGCTTCGCTATTATCGCCACCCGGTATGCTCTATTTACGCAGTGGCCTGGGGTTTGAGTTTAGAGAGAGCCCCTTGGGGGAGGAATCTACTGGATTGGATGCCATATGACTTCAGCAAAGATGATAAGAAGCGATTGCGCTGCTTCGAGCGGCTACATCGCGTGGTTGTCGGCACTAATCCGGCCGGGGCCGCCAGAAGCGACATCGGGCTCGGAATCGCACTAGACGACGTGTGCGCCATGATTGAGCGGGTCAGCGGCGCCAACGACCTTTTGAACGACCTTGTCCTCGACCTTATCGAGGACAAGAGATGTCTTTTCGTGCTTTCGAACGGGCTGATCGGTAGCGGCCCGCTCGGCATGCTGGCCGGCGACGAGGTCTTCCTCCTCCAGGGCGTACAAGCCCCCATGGCGTTGCGGCGAACGGCAGGGACGGCGGCAGAAGTTACGGGAAAATATACAATCGTGGGAGCCGTGCTTGTACACGGAATTATGCACAGCGACTATTTATCACGTACGTTTCCTGTAGACGACGGAATCTGGTGGCCTCAAGCTAGGGTCAATCTCCCGGAAGATGTTGATATCCCACCTCCGCACAGCTGGGACAAGGAAATTACAATCATATAGGTTGGGTGGATACTCCCAAAGGTGGTGTCACGCGGGGATTCCCCTCGGATCCGATACCGGCCAGATGAGGATCGCCGCCGGCCAAGAGGCCGTTGTTGCCTGCCAATATGCATGGAGGCCCAACAGCCCGAAGGCTGCACGAGAGTGAGGGATCTACACTCCCAGCGAGGTCGCGTTAGCCACCGGTCATGTATCTTGTAGCTACGAACGGACCACAGGGAGGCCTATATATAGGGCACCGTCCTCTCAGGGTCCCTCGAGGAGATTCTGACTCCTTAAGCATCTCCTTGAGGCCCTGAGAGAATTATCAATATATTGAGACCTTCTCCAAGCTGATTTCTGATCCCCTTGTAACATGTTCATGCCGTCCCAGTGGTAGTTGCGCTTGATCATCTGGATGGTTTTGTTCTGTCCTTGGTGGGCAAAGATCTGCGGGCTGTGGGCTTCTCTTATCAGGGTTGTCCTGAGGAAAATCTTCCCATCAGTGGTGGTTTCGGGAACAACTAGACGTCCTTGGTGCTTGCCCAGATTTTGCGATTCGTTTTCTTGTTGGATCAACTGGGCAAGGTCGGCGCCCATGGGAGTCGTGTCATCTTGATGACGGTCTTGAACGGCAGCCACCTGATGACTGATTCGGTCTCCGGGGATCATGGCCATAGTGCGGTCTTCTAATTCCCGGGCCTTGACTGTCGGGAGATCGGCTGTCTTGCGGGACAGAGCATCAGCTGCAACGTTTTCGGCACCTCGACGATATTGGAACGTGATGTCAGAATTGGCCAGAAAGTCAGTCCATCGAACCTGACGAGTGGACAGGATCCTTTTGGTCGAATAGTACAACAGCGCCTGATGGTCGGTGACGACGAAGAACTTGGCGCCAAGTAGCTCTGGTTCGTAATGCTCAAGGGTCTGGACGACAGCCAGCAGCTCGCGGTCTTGAATCGGGTAGGCTCGTTCAGCTGGTGTCATGGTCTTGGAGAAGTAGCCTACAGGCTTCCACTCTCCATCTGGCTGCTGTTGCCAAATAGTACCTCCGACGGCGTTGCGCGAGGCATCGGTGTCAACTTTGGTCGGTCGTCCCGGCACAAAGAACGCCAGCACAGGGGCTTCGCATGCCTTGATCTTCGTTTCCTCAAAAGCTTTCCTTTGCTCGTCACCCACAATGAAAGGCGTATCCTTTTTCAACAGGCGGTTCAGTGGCTTAGCAAGTTCACTGGCGTGATGGCAAAACATGCGAATGTAGTTGCACGCCCTAGGAATGATCGCACCGCCGTCTTGCTGTTCAGGTCCTCAAACTTCCAGTCTCGGATGGCCGCGATCTTTGCAGGATCGATACGGATGCCGACGCCGGCTTCCATCACGATGCCCAGGTAGTCAACTGTCTGGACGTTGAAACGGGACTTCTTGATGTCTCCTTGGAGGTCGACTCGATGCAGGCGGTAAATGACTCCCTTGACCTGGTCCCAATGTTCATCCTCGGTGTCGTCATCAGAGTAGATGAGAACATCGTCAGCATAAGCGCTGGCAAACTGATCAAGTAATTCGTTTAGTTGAGCGTTGATGAAGGCTTGCCACCAAGCGAGTCCGACCTTCAAGCCAAACGGGAGGACCTTCCACTGGAATGTTCCTTGTCGAGTACGGAAAGCTGTCAAATATTCTGACCCAACGGCCATGCGTAGGCGGTTGAAGGCACGGATGATGTCGATCTTTGAGAACCTCTTTGCATTTCGACAGTTGAAGATGGTTCCGTTGACGTCAGGGGCAGGTACAAGACGGTCCTTGAGAAACTGGTTTATCCAACCGTAATCGACGCAGAACCGGCGGTCGTTTACGTGCGGTTTGGGTACAAACAGTACTGGAGCGGCATTGGGCTGCATGCATGGTTCAATAAAACCAATCCCCAAAAGCTCGCCGATCGTTTCTTTTTCTAGCGGCAGGTAGTGAACGGGCGTTCGGTAGACAGGAGGCGTTCCGGTGGTGGGTTTGTCTAGTTCAAGAATGACGTCGCGCCAGCTCGACAATCTCGTCAGCTTGCGGAAGCTTCTGCTGCGCACTCAATGGGGGAATTATGGCTAGGTAAATTTCTTCCAGACTTCCGAGTCCGGTGGTTTGGATGTCCTGAACCATCTTGGAAAGCCTGCTGTTGCGTAATGCAATCGATTGCCATGTTAAATCGCCACTTTCACCATTTCTCTGTGCAGGCCGTACATTTGCCCTGTCCTCTATTCGCTCCATCGTTTTAGCCGCAGCCTACATAAAGGCGGAGAACATGTGCCGGGCGTATAGTGTTTTTAAAGGACTGTATAATTCGACTGCCAAGGGAGCATCTTCGCAGGGTGATTTTGGAGGCTTTCGCTTGTACAGATATATGTCAATATCTGCGGGAGGAAACCTGACGCCGGACGCGAATCCGACAATCCGGTGGCTCTCCACCTCCATTATACTGCTGTCGTTATCCGATTTAGTGTCATCAACCTCGATGACTCTGGCGGCACCCTCAGGCATCCACCACTGGAGGTCTCGATATAGAGCCACCGTATGCGAGCCTAGAAGTCGGTGTTGAAATATGCTGGACATGGTTCAAGACTCCTTGCAATGCTTGCTTGTCTAGCAGAGTGCCTCTTGTGGTGGGAAAGGTCAGGGTCTTATATACATAGTGGGCGCCTGGTGTGGCTCGTGCTCCTAGTCACTAGCCAGAGGCATGTGACATTTGTCATCTCAACATTGGCGATGGCTAATGGGCCGTTATAGGGAAAAACACGTCGAATGAGTTGAGAAAACGTGCGGAATAGCTTTGTCGCCGACTGACCTGTCCGTGTCTCCATCTTCAATTCTAAGGTCTACTTGGTAGATTATATGCCGCCATTCTGCAGGCCCGTGATAGGGTGCGCACGCCTCGGCGCCTAGGGCTATAATGACCATGGCGTTGTGCCACAGCGCCGTGCTATAACAACCCCTAGAGATTTCCATCACCCTGTTATGGCGTGGCGTGGCGTGCCCTGCGTGCACTTGCAGCCCTGTCTCTCGCGTGCGTTGGGTGTATAGAGACCCCTTTGGCAACCAGGTGGCAGTCCTGGTTGTCCTAGCGTTTTGACTTAGGTGGGAGGGGTCTCCCTTTGACAACCGCCGTGACAGTGGGGAGCATGGAGGGGAGCATGGAGGGAGCATGGAGGAAGCATGGAAGGACATCGGGCGTGTCACGGCGGTTCGGCAGGTAGAGACCCCTCCCATACAAGCCAAAAAGCCAGGACAATCCAGACTGTTATGGCACGGCGCCGTGGCTCAACGCCATGGCCATTATAGCCCTCCAACTCAGAACAAGTGCCAGCTTGTTTTTCTAGTCCTTTTGGCCTAGGTGGGGGGGGCTTCCCTTTGCCGAATCGTGACACAGACCAGCAGTCTGGATTGGCTAGGGGTCTTTAGTACCCAACGCACCGCTGGAAGCAAGGCTGCCAGGGCACGCAGGGCACTGAGCCACGCCATAACAGGGCGGAAGCATGCGAAAAATCATCAGGAATGTTCATGTCGGATATTTATCATACGGCTTGTAAACTGTCCGCTTCATATCTGTTCGATGTCAATTCGACCAACCGCAAGACGCCGCGACGGAGAGGCACCACCCCAATCGCGCCGGACAAAACGCAGAGTGCTCAGCAACGCGTCTCCACGTGGTAGGGCGTCGTGCCCGCCCATGCAGGAGGGGGAGGGCAACGTTGGATTCTTCGGCGATGGTGTGTGCCCCTCTTAAATACCTTTTAGCAAGTGCCCCCTTTTTATAAGCCTCGTTGTGAACGCGGCAGACGATGATTGGACTTTCTAGTGGTTGCTTATTAGGCAGTGCGGTGAGTTGCCCGATTATCGCCCCCTATTTCGAGAGGCAATCGTGATTGCGTGTGAATAGGTACCTAACTGGACAGATAGATGGAGGCTCATCTGCCATTGTCACACATCAAGACGCCCCGCGCTGCACCACTTTGTTTCTGGCGCTATCCTGGAATGCTCTTATACGGGTAAGGTATGTAGCAGCCCAGTGCCGCCCCGCTGACACTAATGCCCCACACGAGCCGGGCGTGTAGGTTGAGGCCGTCAGCCTAGAGCATGATTGGGTTGCAAGATGCTTATTGGGATTGATTGCGGGTCAACCCAAGGGACTGGCCACTCGTGGTGCCGTACAGAATGGACTTATCTAGGTAAGGCTGCGTTGCCATGTCGAGAGCGGCGCAGGACACCAAAGCCGCCAGCCTTACCAGAAGGATCCTATACTGACAGGTGCCATCCAACCAATAGTCTCGAATTCTCTGCCTCTTATGCTGACAATCGCTTCCAACCAATAACCTCGACTTCTTAACCGCCGATACTTTCACGATGGAATACCGGGCTGCTGAGGCTTGGCCCCCACGCCGCGGTAAGGGTGCGTTCATCTGCGCGGCCGTCCGAGCAGATTACTGCCTGGAGAAGTATTTGCATTTTAACTGCCTCTTCACCATGCTTGGAAGCTTCCAGCGTGGTTTCCCTTTCCTGTTTTACCTTGTCATCCGGTGCCATGCCCGCTTTACACCCACGATTCTTAGACATCTCGGACGTAATCTCGCTGTCTTCACTCGCCAGAGCCTCCAAAAAGAAATGGCCGTCCTCGACTGCTGTCTTCGGGACACAGGTGATTTGGAGAAGCCCGAGCTCCAGCCCTACCCTGACATCTCGGGGATAGGAGTTAGTGTTCACAGCTCCCTCCACCCCCCAGTCCAGCCAGCCATCCAAACTGACTATGTCTGTCAGGTTATTGTCGCGTTCGTTGGAACAGCGTTCATCGCTCTGTTTCTCCTGATCTGCAACTATCTGATCTCTTACGACCCAAGCTCCAACCCCTTCTCCACGCCCCTCGAAGATGCCCTGGAAGACCAGTGCACGCATTGTGGACACGGAGCCCCAACACTCCCAGTTTCCACGACGAGAACGGGAAACAAGAAGAATGACGCCGACTGGTGGCGTCCAAATCCCATCGACACCATGTTCCTCCAGTGGGTTCGCCGCGTCGTCCACAAAGGATTGCCCTTCCTAGCTCGGCTCTCATCCCGGCGTATTAGTGATGCCTTTGTCGAGGTGGGTGGCTCCTCTTTCCCCTTCCATGCACCATAAACATTCACAAACCGAGCTAATCGACCTGTCTGCAGTGCATCATCCTGGCCAGCGACACCCAACTGCTCACTGGAATAGCAATTCTTACCAGCGGTTTCTTGTCTCTCGGATGTGGCTCGGGCCCAAATATCTCGGCGTACCACTGGCAGATGGTAGTCCACCTCGCCTGGTTCGCGATGGCCACCCACCTGGCTAGCCTCTCGGTCCTGCGCAGCTACTTGCGCCGCCACCCGCACCGGCGCCTTTTCAGGTTCCTGCTCACCCTGCTGCTACTTGTACTGCTGCTGGTAGCAGCGGTGCCCACAGTGTTCTTCAACTGGAGGGAGAGGTACTTCGAAGCAACCAGCGGCAGAGAAGAGATGGAATTTACCTTGAGCGCGGCAAACGCTTCTTCTCCAGCCGTCTGCTTCTTCAATATTGGGCCCAGTCGGTCAAAGTTCAGCCAGATAAAAGACCACTATATGCGGACCCTCAGAGATCCTGAATCAATCTCCCGGTACTCCGAATTTCCCTCCTACCGGGTGCTGTCGCTGGCCGGGGGGCTTCCGAACCTTCAGGACACGCCGGCGTTCCAGGGAACCGTCTTTTCCACAGCTATCCTTCTCGTCGCATTCTTTAACAGAACCGTGAAACTATTTCGACCCCTCTCCTTTGTGCTTTACTTAAGCCTCCGACCTATTGTGGGCACCAGCGCACAAGATGCTTGTTCAAGATGGCTGGAGTGGACCATGCCTACCAAATCCAAGCTTGTTAGGGCTCACTTGTGGCGGTCCCTGATATTTCGACCTTCTGTGGCTCTTCTGGTCTCTGCTCGCATGCTGGTTGATCTTGCGACATCACAACTGATCAATGTAAGGACACTGATTCCAGTTCGCGCCGCGAGCATCGAGGAGTAACGCTCCTAGCTGACTGCTTCTTCCCTCTGTAGATTTATCTCCTTCTATTCGCCGTTTTCTGGGCCACCTGTCGACTCGCCGAAGGACGTCGGTCCACAGACGCAGCAATCGTATCTGAAGAAGAGAACAAGTGGACCTTTGGGCAGACCTTGCCTCTGCTCCTCCTCGCCGCACCCATCCTGGCTTTGTTCAGCGCATTCTTTACCAAGCTGACCCCAGATATGCGACGAGTCCTTAGCAAAGGAGAGATTCCAGGCAGAAGCTCGGAGACCACCGTAGCTCGAGTGACAGGAACATACGAGCCAGGCGTGCCCAGCCATTCGACGGAAAAAGGCATCATTCGGGCGGCATTAAGATGCAACTACTACGCCATAGCTCCCTGGACGGTCGTCTGCGCTGGGATTTTGACTTGCTGCGTCTTGACAACGCTGACGCCGATGCCGGCACTCTACTTCGGGATGCCTTCGGGCGATTCACCCCTGACCTATTTCGTCCGCACAGGTCTGCTTTTCCAGCTCGTCCTCGGCTTACCTTGCGCCTGCTTTTCGGCTACCCTGATAGGGCTCGCGGTGCAACAGCACCTTGCCAAGCGGCTCGCCTTTTTCCTCTACATAATTTGCGCGGCCGTCAGCTTTTGCGGCGGCTTCGTTTCCATTGCACTATTTCTCACCAGCGGCGAGGCATTCAAGATCGCAGAGCTAGATTTCTTCATGTTCATTTATTGGGCCTTTTTTATTCTTTGCGTGCCCCTGCTCCTGCTTCTTCATACCCCTTGCCTACCATCGTTGGCATTGCTTGGGGCTTTAGGGCCTCACGATCACGGCTGCCTCCTTAGCTGGCAAAATATCGCTGTATTACAAAAATAAAAAAAGGATCACCCAAACTGCACCTATCATTTAGAGAAATACGTGCTCTTGGGCAGGCTGCTCCATAATTTGCCGCACCCCTCTAACTTTGCGAACAACCTTGTAGCGGCGAGTCAACATCTCCATCCTGGCAGTCGGTCTTTCTTTTTGCTCTCCCTCATCCTGCCCGTGCCTGGCATGGCCAGAGGAGGATCCACCGCCGTCTGGACCCTCCTGCCTACCTCCCTCAGCGAGAGTATCCTCTACCCCGAGAGCAGGAAGCTCCTCGACGACCCAGCACGTGCTCATGCTCCGGACCGGCGGGCGCGGCAGGACCTCCATCGAGGCGTCGTACGGCGTGGCCACGACGCATGGCCCGTCGACGTCGAATGCGGAGACGAGGCGGCGGGACATCTCGGCGTCCCTGGCGGGGTCCATGTCCGCGATGGCCGTCTCGCCGACGATGGCTTGGCAGAGCGACACCATGCTGCTGATGTCGACACTTGCTGACAAGTCGGAGCCGTCGCCGCCAGCCTCTTCCTTTTCTAGAAGACTGTTGAGGATTGACGGCTTTAGCATGTGCATCAGTATCTTGGTCGTCAGTTGTTTTTCGAGTATCGTCTTGCCCTGTAAGCCTTTCACAGGACTCTTTGTCGGGTTCCCGGACTGCAGCTGCGGGTCATCTCCGGACGCCGCCGCTGGCGAATCTGGTATCGAGGCTCCCAGATCCAGCTCGCTGTTCTCGGGGTGCGCGCGGCGATACGACCCGACCCAGAGCGTCCCCTTCTCCATGATGCGCTCGAGGAACCACAGCTGGTGGTAGCCGCCGCTCTTGCCCCATCTCTTGTCCACGTCCAGCTGGAGCGTCTCAAACGGCACTGCCTGGACGTCTGGGTGGCTGAAAAGCCCGTCAGAGACGGTGTCTGGCAGTGGACGATCGGCGGAGGAGGAGGACGTGGCGGCGGCGCGCACCGACTGCCAGATGCTGTCCGCGAGCCCCTGCGCCTGCGGATCGTCGAGCACGCTGAGGTAGCGAAGGAGTCCGAATATTATTTCGGCCAGGCAAGCCCGATTTTCGGCGGTGCCCTCGACGTAGGTGGCGCTGAGCTGGACGGAGAACTTCACGCCTTCCGGGTTCAAGTCACCCCAGAGTGGTGAATCTGGTGGCAGGATGCCACCGTTGCGGATGACTTCTTCTTTCACCTTGCTTTGGAACTCCGGATCCGTAGGATCTGTAAACCTCTTGGCCACCAACAAGGATTGTTGCACTTCGCTCTCGCTTGGTCCTCTAGCCGTCGCATCCCTTTGGAGAGGAGTTAAAGTGAGGTTGAGAAGTTGCTGCCATTTCTCCAAGTACTGATATCTGATGAGACTCAGGTCGATTTCCCTGTCAACCGTCCAGGTGTATGCAGACAGCTGGACTCCGGGCTTCGTGGGGTCGTTCCTGAGCGAGTGTTTGTATACCGTGGGCATGACGCGGGAGACGTGGTACTGGTCCAGGTCACGTATGAAGCCGGGATGCGTGTCAAAGGGTGAGAAGAGACCGTTGTCTAGCCCGTTGCAGCAGCAGCTCGGGTTACGACAAAGCGAATCGTAAGAGTCTGTCGAGCACTTGTACATCTCCGGCACGAGAAGGGACAGGTCCGAGTTGAGCAGCGCGAGCGAGAGGACCCCAGCGCGCAGAGAATCGCAGTGAGACGCCGCGTCGCCTGCGTGGATACGGACTTCGTAGCGGCACATATTGGCCATTATGGCGATGCGGTCCTGCGTGTCGCGGCAGTCTCTGTTTTTGAGGATCGTAAGCGCCGTGGACGCGCTGACTACTTGCCCTTTGCCGTACTCGCCGGACCCTAAAACATGGACGCCTCCGTGAGGATTCTTGGTCATGTCCGACGAGCTCGGGTGAAGGGCTTCGGCTCTGTCCAGAATCTTCATGGCGTTGCTCAGGAGAAAACGCAGCTGCCAGGTGAGCTGGCGCGACTCGAAAAACGCCCTCGTCACACGCACCAGCCCGCGGAGATCGTCCCGGCTGATGCAGACGTTCTCGGACGGCATGGCCCGCGGCCGCATTTCCAAGCTGTGCGGCGGCTGCCCGTGGTTATTGGCCTTGCGCAAAGACAGCTCGTTGCCCGTGACGCCCGGCGCCTTGCGGAACACGAGCCACAGCCCGTGACTGGCGCTGAGCGCCTCCTGGGCCACCCACGCGCGCGTGTACCACCGGTCCTGCACCACGGCGACCAGGAACTTGAACATTTGGAGGACCTGGGAGGGGTGCGGCTGCGCGCTTCTCGCCGTGCCGCCGCCGCCGCCGCCGGCCAGGCGCTGGAAGACGTGGATGGCGTCGAGCTCCTGCTGGCTGACCACCACCCCGTCGTGCAGACCTGCTGTGATCGTGGCCTTTTCGTACACGATGTCCATGGCCTGGACGCCGGTATGGTGGTAGTCGTGGTCCTTTTGGGGGCTCTCGTCGGTCGGCTGCGGCAGGCACTCCTGGTCGATCCAGATCATGCGCAGGAGGGCAGTGTTGGCAAAATCGACGGCGCGGTCGAGGACGTCGTCCAGGGCGCGGGCGGTCCGCGTGGTGCCGTCGAGGTCGCGCACGCGATAGGTGCGTTCGGGGACCGGCGCTGCCTCCTCCTTGAGCGGTGGCCAGCAGTACGAGACGGCGACGTAGTGGGGACAGACTGGTCTTTTGGGAGGCAGCTGAACGAGTTTGAACTTTCGCGTCTTTCTATTGCTGGGAAACTCGGGGAACTGTCCACAGGCGCAGAATTCGGGAGGCGGCGTCGGCGCAGCCGGCTTGGCCGAAGGTCCGGCCTCGGCATTGCCATCGGCTTCAACAGACATTTTGAGGGCCGCGTCGAGCATGCCTTCGTCATCATCGCTGTCGTACCCGTATTCCTTCTCCTCCGTATCATCATACACGAGGAATACCATGTCACGAAGAGCCCAGATGTCGGCTCGGGTGCGCGACATTTTGAAATTCCACAACTTTTTCATTTTCTCGACATCTTTGGCTTCGAATGCGGGCTGTGGCCTGTCCGAGCGCGTATCGTCATTCATCGTCTTACGGGTGTCCATTGTGTCCAAGCAGTATCACAAGGACCAATGAAGACAGGGTTGTGGGCATTTGTTCCCGCGGCAGTTGGTGTCTTCCTTCTTCTTTTCTTTTCGCTCACGGAGGCATAAATTTGCGAAAGGGAAACCAATCGACCTTATATATACTAAAACCCCATGGATTTCTCGTAAAAGTGGAACGAAGCACGGCACAGCCATCCCACTTGCGCCTCACAGCGTGGGCTTGGCGGCACCCCTGACAAGTTTGGGGGCCGCAGGATTGAAACCCAGGAGGAAAAAGAAAGCCCTTTTTTGGGACCTACATACATCATATAAAGCTTTAACAATGCCTGCATTCACTGCTCCAGCGAGCGAGGGTTGTATGTTTCTGCTTTTTTTTTCGTGCTTTCCGTGGAAAGCAACCCTTCTTCTGGGCGAAATAGGTATCTGGATCACTTATCGTCTCCTGGATGCCTCGCATCTAACACGGTCAAGTTCCGCAGCTTCTACCCAATCTCAAACCTCACAGCCTTGCTTGAGCTCGAACCTGCTGCTGTCAGCAAACATCATCCTGTAAAACACATCCGCCTACTTCGTGATGTGCATGGTTGTGTAGATGTTTGGTACCCACGTCTCCCCCACCTGTATCACGTAGGTTCCCGCCCTGGGGTCAGGAGCAGTAGTAGTAGTAGTAGTAGTAGTAGTAGTAGTAGTAGTAGTAGTAGTAGTAGTAGTAGTAGTAGTAGTAGTAGTAGTAGTAGTAGTAGTAGTAGTAGTAGTAGTAGTAGTAGTAGTAGTAGTAGTAGTAGTAGTAGTAGTAGTAGTAGTAGTAGTAGTAGTAGTAGTAGTAGTAGTTAG